CAGACACAACACAGTGCAGCGACAGCGGCACAGCGACTCATAAACGCCCGCGACTCTTGCCGTCCTGGGGAAGCTTCCTCTTCGGCGCCCACTGAGGGGCTCAGAGAGGTGTGCAGGACCCACGTGCGGGGAGTGCTCCCCAGGGCGGGGGGAGGTGTGGGGCCCCCCATGTGGCTGAGGAGGAGCAGAGACTTAGCGGCTAGGGGGGGCAGCAGGTGTCGTAATGTGTAAGGCGCTGGGCTCCCACATGGCCAACGCGGTTCCGGTCCCGGACCGCACGGCTTAAAATCATGCCAGGCAGGTGTGCCCCAGATCCCAGGAGGAAGGGATACTGGGCCATCCCTCATGGGGGGTGATTTCTCATTTTCGGTCTCTCTGTTTCTGTCTCTCTCCAGTGAGCGCATGTGCCCTATAGCAAAAACCATTAAATAATAATAATAATAATAATAATAAAGGCTGCTGTTGAAAGCCAGCTAGACACAAGCTAGTCGGCGGGCAATTACAGGTTAGCGGCTTCATCGGGGATAACGCAGGCTGTAGGCCTATGGCAGGACAGACTCTCCACTCCCCCTCTGGGCTTTTCTCCCCTCCTGGCGTTGGGCTTTGAACACCCTTACCTGGGACCACCTGGTTCTGCTTGGCTCCTGGGCTCTGGGAGTCAGGGCAAGGCCAGCAGGGATGGCCTCCCTGGGGAGCATGACTCCCAAGACAGCGCAATTCTGCCGTCCTTTAAGGGGCAGGGGTGCATGTGCAAGCTGCAGAGAGCAGGGGCAGCCATCCCAACTCTAGGCAGAGGAGCTCTAAAGTGGGGCGAGCCTCCTGATGGCCTCCCAGGGTGATGCCTTACTTCCTGGTCCTTCCTGACTGCTCCATTTATAACCTTGTTGCTGATCTTTAGAGCTACCGTGTCGGGAGCACGTTTAGTTGTAAGTAACGTGACTTCCAACCAACAACGACCTACGCGATATTGACATTCCTCCATCCGCAGGGATTATGGAGTGCGACCACATGTCAGCTCCTGTCTAGAGGCTGCAGGGGCGGCAGAGAGAGAAGCGAATTCCTGCCCTTGGAGAACAAGAAGGCAGCCGGGCTAGGCAGGGCTGGGCGGGGCCCTGAGTGCCCCAGGCTTCTGCCCCCCGTCACTGGATAGCACAGAACACCCAGAAATCTCGGTCAGGACAGGAAGCGGAAGCAGGAGGAAGAGGTGGCACCAGACTTGCCTGGTCCTTTTAGCAGGGGAGAAAGGCTTTCCCAGAAGGCCCCAGGGACCCTCCCTTACCACCGCCGGAGGACCAGGCATGTGGTTATGTGGGCATTTTCATGATTAGTTAACCTGAACACTTATCCCTGGGCGTTGCCAGAACCAGGTCAGGGTTCAGGCTGCAAAGGAGACAGGCTGGAGACCGGGGAGGGAGTCGGGCCACCTTGCTGCCCCGGAATTTGCAGGGCCAGGCAGGCACTGGCGAACGGGGGCATTCCTTGGGGAACATGCAAATAGCAAGTGAATAGTAGGCCTGTTTAAAAAATGACTCAGGGGGCCAGCAGGTGGTGTGGTAGTTAGGGCACTGGGCTCGCATGGCCGACAGCGGTTCGAATCCCAGCCCTGGCAGCTTGCTTTCTCTCTCTCTCTGGTAAGCACACGTGCTTCAGAGCACATCAGAAAATTATAATAATTATAATAATAATAATAAGTAAAATTAAATAAATAATTTTTTAATGGCATTGGATTTAATCCAAGTCAGGTCAAAAGGCCGCATGTAGAGCCTGCTGCTTACTAAGGTGGTTTCCAAGTGTTCTGTAGGAAATAGGATGAAGAAAGAAGGGCCAGCCCCGAGCCTTCAGCCTGGCTGAGAGGACGTGCACGCTGACATGCCAGTGCCTGGGCAGGGGCGGGGGTGCCAGACACTGGGCTGGAGTCAGGCACAGTTCCAGTGGGGTGCTGTGGGGGCACTCCCCCGCCTGCCTGCCCACAGCCCTCTAGGGAACACGCCCCGTTCACACACCCAAAAGACGCAGTCCTAGGGGCCCAGGTCTGTCCCACCCGGGATCCGCCCTATTTTCTAACCTTAAGTGGCTTTTCATGAGGCTTCAGGTTAAAGTCTGAACTTTTTTTTTTTTTGGAGAGGTTTTTGCTATAGGGCATGTACACTCACCAGAAAGAGAGAGACAGAGAGACAGAAAGTGAGAAATCACCCCCCAGGGGGGATGGCCACACCGCAATCCCTTCTCCTCCATTCTCCTCTTGGGATCTTAGGCACGCACACACACGTGCTTGGCATGAGTTTAAGCCACCAGGTCCAGGACTCGAACCACGGTTGACTACATGGGAGTCCAGCGACATAGCCTTTACGCTAACTGCTGGTCCCAAAGTCTGAACTCTTTTTATTTTATTTATTTATTTATTTTTTGAGCTTTTGCTATAGGGCAGATGTGCTCGCCAGAAAGAGAGAGACAGAGAGACAGAAAGTGAGAAATACCCCCCCCTCCCCCGAATGGCCATACCGCAATCCCTTCTCCTCCATTCTCCTCTTGGGATCTTGAGCACGTATGCACACGTGCCCCGCGTGAGTTTAAGCCACCAGGTCTGGGACTCGAACCGCGGTCAACTACATGGGAGTCCAGCAACATAGCCATTACGCTAACTGCTGGTCCCCAAAGTCTGAACTCTTTATGGACTCGGCCAGGACTGCCGGTGTTCCTCCCTGGCTGGTCTCCCCGCCTGCCCTCCAGCACCCCGAGGTAGAGACCTTCCCAGCATGTGTGCATTTTCCGTGCCTCTGCATACACAGCGCCTGTGGGCAAAAACGTCCCTGCTGCCCTCCTGTCTCCTTCAGGTCTTCCTGACTCCTCCCTCCCTCCTGACGCCCGCCCTCTCTGAGGAACTGTGCTGGCATGTGGTCCCACGTGCTGCCTGGGCGCTCTGGGGCAGGGGCTGTGCTTCGCTTGGTGCCCTCGATGCCTGGCACTGCCTGGCACG